AAAATAAGTTTCATTCCGGTTTTAGCACATTAAAAATAGTAATATTTTGTTGATTTTATTTAGGATATTTTTTGGCTGTTGATCAGTGAATCCTTTAATAATGAAGGATAATAGCTTCACGATAGGAGAGCGCTGACGCTCACACGGAACAGGTGCAACCTAGAAATTTTTGAAGGAGAGAAAAGACTAAGACAATCAAGGAAGCGTACAATTGTAGGAACGACTGACGATACGACTCAGTTTTTATGCCAAAAAGTCTATGATCACACCAGAATTACAAATGAATCAAGAACAATTATAGATTTGATAACAACGAACGAACATAATTTAATTGCAAAAGTTATGCTTACTCCTTAGATCAATCATCATTCATGGATGTGTTTTGAAGTTGAAAATAAATTTGATGCTAACAAAGTGGAAGAACTTACTAATATTAACCACGTAAAATTACGAGAAGCTCTTTTACTGCAAGATATGACTGAAACATATGTTGTTGTTGATAGCTACTATATAAGCCTATTGGATAATGTTGAAGTTTGCATAAAAGAAGCTACATTTATAAAAGGCAGATCCAACACCTTGATTCTCACAGACGTTCAAGGATTCTAAATTGAAAGGACACTACAATTATGAAAAGTTTATGATTATTGGAAGTGAAAATGATTGGCTAGAATACACAAGATCAAGAAACCAATCTGTTGCAGTTCTACGAGATGAAAAGAAAAAATATTACAATGCCAAAATTGATCAGAGTAAAAATAATAGCAAACATATGTGGAAAACGTTGAAAAACATTGTCTCTGCTGTTAAAAAAGTACATTATGTAAAATAAAATTCGACGATGGGGTAATAACAAATGAAGAAATAATAGCAGATCGAATGAATACCTATTTCATAGAAAGTGTCAACTACATTGTAAAATCAATTATTAGCGGAGATTTCAACCAATGTCCCATTAGCTCAGATTATAACGCATCATTCAGTGAGTGTAGAACAATAGACATTAATCGTCTCAAGAAGATTATATCAAAAATTAAATCAAATCAAACTAAGAGTGAGATTTTGTCTAAAAGTATGCTTAATGAATGTTTTGATATTATTGGAGCAAGAATATTAATCCTAATAAATTACTGTTTATAATATTTCGAATTTCCAACAAAACTGAAGTGTTCTACCACCAAGTTAAGAAGTTGTACACCACTACATGTTCTGGCAATGTTGAAAAAGTGTTCGAAGAAATTATTTATTCAAAATTTTACAAAACTATTTAATATACAGAAGTCAAAAAAACAAAATTGGATCTACATTATCAAGATTAAAAAATATTCTTGTTGGTATACCACAAGGTAGTAAACTAGGTCCACTACTATTTATTTTATACATTAATGACATTTGTAATATTTTAGATTATTGTAAACTTCAGATATTTGTAGATGATACATTAATATACATATCAGATGAAAATATAGGCACTGCTAGGGAAATACCTAAATGAAAATACTATCACAGTTATGGTAAATGGAGAAATAATTGAAAATGTTGAATCAATTAAATATTTAGGTATATATATATATATATATATATATATATATATATTAATAGTAAACTAAAGTTTAAGGAGCACTATGAAAACATTATTTCAAAAATTGCCAAAAAAACAAATTACTTTTATAGGGCTTCACATAGTCTTGGTACCTATTCCAAGAAAATAGTTAATAATACAATTATTCTACCGCATTTACTATATTGCTCGACTATCTTGTTCACTGCCTATGAAGCAGTATTTTCAATATTACAAGTCTTGCAAAATAAAGCTATGAGAATGGTATTGAATAAAAATAAGTACACCGAAATAAAATCTATGTTATACGAATTGCTGTTGAATATAAAAAATTTCATATCATATTTGGTTCTTATTTTTATATTTAAAACAAAAAACCATCTTTTGCCAGAACATTTAGAACACTACATAGAATTGAATAATCGTTACCACAATTATACTAAGTGACATATAAATCCGAACACCCAGTTTAAATGGTTTTATTTTAATAAAAGTTGGTGAATGTATTTATCTTACTGTAGATAACAAGTGAAAAATTTTAAGCCTTATCAATTGGACATTCCGGTTTTTAATATTTCAGCCGCAGTAAAGAATCAACGTTGGCGGATTTTGGTTCTTGACTTCCTTTACGATCGGTTACGATGCCTAGAGTACCTGTACGATTTTGTCAACTTAGTGAGTTTGATAGGGGCCGTATAGTGGGACTTCGGGAAGCTGGACTTTCTTTTCGGGCAATTGCAGTTAGAGTGCAAAGAAGTGTAGACACTGTGGTTAGGTGTTGTCAGGCATGGCTTCGAGAAGGCCGTACGCAAAGAGCAAGGGGCACTGGACGCCGCCGTAGAACAACAGACCGTAAAGATCGCCGCTTAAGATTATTGGCCTTAAGGGACCGTTTCTCCACTACCAGGTCCATTGTAAATGAATGGTTTGCAGAACACGGAAGACCTATTGGCATGCGAAGTGTTTACCGACGAATGAGAAGTTTTGGCTTGTTTTCATACCGGCCACACTGGGTCCTCCCTTTAACTCGAGAACACCGACGTAATCTCCTTGAGTGGTGCAGACAACGGTCACTCTGGATCAGGAATTGAACAGTATTGTCTTTAGTGACGAGTCTCGATTTTGTTTAGGCATGCACGATGGTCGTGCCAGGGTTAGAAGGCGACGTGGTGAAAGGAGGAATCCACAGTTTTTTGTTGAAAGACATGTTCATCACACTGTTGGAGTTATGGTTTGGGGGTGCTATAGCTTACGGTTCCAGGTCACCTTTAATCTTCATCAGAGGTAACATGAACGCGCAGCCTATCCACGAAGTTCTAGAACCCCATCTTTTACCCTATCTTGACACCCTGGCAGATCCAACTTTCCAACAGGATAATGCCCGACCACATGTTGCAAGAGTCACAATAGACTTCTTTCAACATAATGATGTCACATTGTTACCATGGCCACCAAGATCTCCCGACTTATCCCCAATTGAGCACGTGTGGGATATGATGGGTAGGAGATTGCTCAATTTGCAACGTCCTCCTCAGACTCTAGAAGCACTTCGAGAGGAGTTGGTGGTTGCCTGGAATGAACTACCACAGGAGGACATTGACCACCTGATCAGAAGCATGCCTAGGCGCGTTGGAGAATGCGTAGCACATCAGGGTGCATCCACACATTATTAAAGGTCAAAGGGCTTTAAAGCAGTGCAATCATTTTGAAATTTTTATCATTTACTTATTATGCTTCATTAAGTACTTATACAAAATTTTATTAAAATAAAACCATTTAAACTGGGTGTTCGGATTTATATGTCACTTAGTAGATATATTATACAAGAGGAAATATAGATTTTCATTTACAAAATTGCAATAACTAGCAAATGAATATTTCAGAACTGACTAAACTAAATAATAATATAAAGTCTACTTGTAATTTAAAGATATTTAAAAGAAAATTAAAGGAATATTTCATGGACAATGAAAACTCTTAGAGATGCAAATTCTGTTTTTTTCTGATGATGTCTGTATGTTATGTAATTGTTTAGTTTTTAGAAGAATGTAATTGTAGCAACCATGCTAAATAAATCATAAACAAACAAACTTGACTGTTCAATGTTCCACCTACCCCGCACCCTTAATTTTACTTATAGATTCGATTAAAATCATTGAAACGCAACATAATTTATCAAGCAGCTTCGACAATATCAATCATTTATATTTTTTCCAAATCTCCTAATATTCCTTCCCACTGGATCTTCCCATTCATTGGCCAAAGCATCCTTATAAATCAGAATTTACTCCTAATCTCCACCTTGAGACTCCTAATTTTTTATATAAATCGCCTGCCTTTTTTCCTCTCTTCTTTCATAACGGTATTATACCCATAATAAGTCTCTATTAATATTTATATTGAACGTCTTGCATAGGCAATCAAATTAATGGCGTAATTTCTTTTGGTTTAAGGCTTCATAATCGCATTATGAGGCCATGAATAATGAAATGATACACTTAAGAGAGACCCAAGATGAGCGTCTCAGGAACTGCGTCACCTGCGTCTAATACAGGGTGTTTCTTGATAATACTGCATAAAGCAATCGGTATCCATATTACCTTACTTAAATACTAGCATTATATCTTTTTATGATATTATGTAGGTTTACCTATAAAATGTCAGCTTTGACCGAGCTGCTACGTAGTTCACAAGTTGACTTTTTACCGATTTTTTTGACATTATATAGGTTTTTACCAACCGTGTACAACTGTTTCACGCTTGTTGACAATCATCGGCTGGGTCTCACCAGTGGTGATCCGCAGGGATCCAATTTGGGACCATTATTCGTTAATTATCTATGTGAATCTTTGGCTTGTTCTAAAATGACATGAAATTTTATTCATCTGTCTTCATCTGTATTAAATAAAACTACAAAGCTGGTGCGTCAAGAATCAACGTCGTTTTAATATAATTAAAATAGAGAGTGGTAATTTCAAGGGAAACCAACGCTTTGTTATATATAATAATATAATAAAAGACATCCCTCGTACAGTAATACATACTGAATAATAAAATGTGATTTCAATTCGTATAAACATTACTTGCTTTAACGTATGCAGAAAATCATCAAATAATATTATTTCCCTAACACCCTGTATAGTTATACAACGGATAAATGTGTTCTTGAGCATAGTGAAAATGTGAACGGTTCAGGCATCTATTTCGATCAACAACTAACTTTCAATGAGCATGTTAATCAAACTATTACAAGCACTTTAAATTTTAAGTCTTGTACTTTACAGACTTTAAACTTTGGCTTGGTTAGGTCCAAACTCGAATATGGATGTATGATATGGAGTCCGATTCACATGCATTATGTTGATTAGATTAGATTGATCTTTCAATGGCACACACATTTTTGAATAGACATTATTTTTTGCAGTCAACGTAGTAGATGGGGAAATTCTCTACATCACGAAAGTTAGCAGACTCCATATGGGCATCTACCTCTGCATAGCTTCAAATGGTGTACCTCCTTCAATAAGCAAAAGGATATCTCTCAAGTACAGTGTAAGCAACCTTCATATTATCATTGATTATTACTAATATTGATATACTAGGAGACATATAAATCCGAACACCCAGTTTAAATGGTTTTATTATAATAAAATTTTGTATAAGTACTTAATGAAGCATAATGAGTAAGTGATAAAAATTTCAAAATGATTGCACTGCTTTAAAGCCCTTTGACCTTTAATAATGTGTGGATGCACCCTGATGTGCTACGCATTCTCCAATGCGCCTAGGCATGCTTCTGATCAGGTGGTCAATGTCCTCCTGTGCTATCTCATTCCAGGCAACCACCAACTCCTCTCGAAGTGCATCTAGAGTCTGAGGAAGACGTTGCAAATTGAGCAATCTCCTACCCATCATATCCCACACGTGCTCAATTGGGGATAAGTCGGGAGATCTTGGTGGCCATGGTAACAATGTGATATCATTATGTTGAAAGAAGTCTATTGTGACTCTTGCAACATGTGGTCGGGCATTATCTTGTTGGAAAGTTGGATCTGCCAGGGTGTCAAGATAGGGTAAAGATGGGGTACTAGAACTTCGTGGATATAACGCTGCGCGTTTATGTTACCTCTGATGAGGATTAAAGGTGACCTGGAACCATAAGCTATAGCACCCCAAACCATAACTCCAACAGTGTGATGAACATGTCTTTCAACAAAAAATTGTGGATTCCTCCTTTCACCACGTCGCCTTCTAACCCTGGCACGACCATCATGCATGCCTAAACAAAATCGAGACTCGTCACTAAAGACAATACTGTTCCATTCCTGATCCCAGAGTGACCATTGTCTGCACCACTCAAGGCGATTACGTCGGTGTTCTCGAGTTAAAGGGAGGACCCAGTGTGGCCGGTATGAAAACAAGCCAAAACTTCTCATTCGTCGGTAAACACTTCGCATGTCAATAAGTCTTCCGTGTTCTGCAAACCATTCATTTGCAAAGTACCTGGTAGTGGAGAAACAGTCCCTTAAGGCCAATAATCTTAGGCGGCGATCTTCACGGTCTGTTGTTCTACGGCGGCGTCCAGTGCCCCTTGCTCTTTGCGTACGGCCTTCTCGAAGCCATGCCTGACAACACCTAACCACAGTGTCTACACTTCTTTGCACTCTAACTGCAATTGCCCGAAAAGAAAGTCCAGCTTCCCGAAGTCCCACTATACGACCTCTATCAAACTCACTAAGTTGACGAAATCGTACAGGTCTCCGTACTCTAGGAATCGTAACCGATCGTAAAGGATGTCAAGAACTAAAATCCGCCAACGTTGATTCTTTACTGCGGTTGAAATATTCATTTTTAGAGCGTTAGTGAATTAAAAAAAGCAGTATAAAAACCGGAATGTCCAACTGATAAGGCTGAAAATTTTTTCACTTGTTATTTACAGTAAGATAAATACATTCACCAACTTTTATTAAAATAAAACCATTTAAACTGGGTGTTCGGATTTATATGTCACTTAGTATATTACGAGTTAGTTCGCGAACGAACTACTTCAAACAAACGATGACTGAACTAAGTGAACTGGTTCAGCATTCCGCGGTTTTTGTTTAGTTTAAATTTCATTTAGCGGTTATCTTACGAGGTCTGTAAATTGAGTGATGAGACTGGCAACGTAGCGTTCGATCTAGCAACACTGCAGCCGCCGCGCGAGACACGGGAACATGTGACTCGTCTTCAGTACAAGTTTGACCTCGCTCGAGTCTCATCACTGAATTTACAGATCTCGTAAGACTTTGGTGTATGTGCTACCAGGAAAAGCTTCTTATCAAGATCTATACATCGTGTAAAGTAAAGTCCCAACTTTGCGAACACCCTGTATACCCGACTTTCCCCTACAAACAAAAACTAAGAGTATTTTCAGTCCGTTGCGCCCTAGCAAGGCCAACTGTCAATTACTTGATCAGCCTTACAAAGAACCTTTGGCTTTCCTAGGATAGATATTTTAACTAAAATGGAGATAAAGTATTATTTTTTCTGTAGTACCATATCAATGTAGAGTGGCAAAGTTTAAAGAAAACAGTAAATAGTTTGTTCACTTGATAAGATATGTTTTGCTGAGAGCTTGTATTATAATTTTAACGTCGACTACTGAAGTCAACATGGGTGTTTGTTGAATAGAAGGAATTTGTCGTCAAATGGCAAAACTACGACCCCACCTTATATTTTTCTACGGATATTCACTGGAGTTGAAATTAATTCATCGAGTAAAGATTTATCATTCCGAAATATTTTCAGTAAACTTGCAAAATTACGTAGGCGATCGTAGAAACCAAAATGTCATTTCATGTATTTTAGCTTAACGATTTTTTATTTTATTCTTTATATTTCAGTTCCACCAATGTTATCGATTCCGAATCAACTGGAAGGAGCGTTCGTTGGACAAGACGTCACGCTGGAATGCAGAACTGAAGCGTTTCCAACTTCGATCAACTATTGGACTACAGAGAGAGGAGATATGATCATCTCAGGTAAATAACATCTATCTATTTAATTGTTTTTCTAACACACCGTTTCAGAAACGTAGCTCTGAGAAGGTCAGATACTGATTCCATTCTTTTTATGGCTTAAATACTTGCTTCTTCTTCTTCTTCTGCAGGTCATCGATGCAACTGTGACTTTTTCAGCTGCGCGTTTAAAAAGTTAATTCAAATCATTCCCATAGATTGCGCAGACTTGAAGCTTGTCTCAAAATGGTTAGCATCTAACAGACTAAAATTAAATGCAAGTAAAACGAAAGCCTTGCTAATCGGAAAAAAACAATGTACAAATGTTCAACTGAAAATTGATGGTGAAGATATTGAATTCGTAGAAAATTTTAAATACCTGGGAGTTTTTGTTGACTCTCGATTAATTTTTGATATTCATTATGAAAAAGTTATAAATAAGATTAGTAGTAAAGTGGGATATTTATCGAGAGTTTCTGGATGTCTGAGTTCATATAGCAGAAAAATTATCTATAATACCATCATTCTTCCAAATTTCTTGTACTGTTCGACTATTCTATATTTAGCAAATAATTCCGTTTTTGAAAGACTGCAAATTTTACAAAATAAGTGCATGAGAATAATACTAAATAAAGATAAATATACTCCAATTAGGCAAATGCTTAGCAAATTAAAATGGCTCAATGTAAAAGATTTTATCAAATATCTTGTAATGATATTCATTTATAAAGTAAAAAATAATATATTTCCATCAAGTCTAACTAATTTAACATCATCAAATGTCGACCAACATTTACATAATACCAGAAATAAAGATGACTTCCATTTAATGACCAAAAAGTATAACATATGCTACAAATCTGTATTCCATCAAGGGTTGATTGCATATAATAAATTATACTCGGAGATAAAAGACCAGAAAACTTTGACAAAATTTAAAGTAAAATTGAGAAATCACTTGTTAAATCTACAATTATAGGTTGCCCAGCATTTACATCATACACCATATGGCTTGAATTTACTAGTTCTAAGTTGTTTACAATTGTTCTGTTTATGTAGCCAAATGTGCTAAATAAATCTTTCTACTACTACTACTACTAGCTATGGAATTTTTATCCTTCTACGCTTCTTTTACCTTTAATTTTACCCTTCGTTATGCTTCTTAGTAGATCGATTCTTCTTCCCGCATGATGTGTTCTAAATCCTCTATACTTCATTAATTCAACTTGCTTAGCCACTTTTAATACCTTGCCGATTTTCAGGTGACAAGTACGAGTCTGTAGCTATGGACAATGGCTACAAAAAGTACATGATGCTCAAAATCCGAAAAGTCGACAAATCCGATTTCGGATCTTACAGATGTGTCGCCAAGAATTCTCTAGGCGAAACGGACGGTGTTATCAAATTGGAAGGTAAGTTTTCATACTATTTCAGACGACAAGATCAGACTTTACTTCTGTATATTCCTGAAATTTAGTCAGGCCTAAAGGTAATTGGAAAAAAAATATATTCTTCAATAAACTTTTTTCCTTAGAGTTATAAACATACATTGCCTTCCAGAAACCCCCCCCACTTTATTTGTTGAACGAGTTAAGTTAAAAAGCTCAAATTTGAGCAAATAAGACAGCACAAATCCGATTTATTATCAGAATCGACCACTGTCAAAGTAAAAATAGCAAGGTGGCTGTTGGAACTGTATCCCAGTTTGCATTTGTCAACCGGGTCACCACTGTGACCGCTACATGCCGCCGATTCTGGTGCTATAATATACAGGGTATTAGGGAAATAATGTTCGTAACCTTAAGAGGTGATTCCTTGCATAATTCTAAGCAAAAAAGTTAATTATATTTTATGTCCGAAAATCAAGTGAGTCGTAAATAATTAAATTTTCTCAAACATTTGGCAACGCTGCAACGCAACCGCGATACGAGCGCACGACGACCGCAACTGATTCATCGAATTGTTTACGTTTGTATGGTATTTTTGTTGAAAATATGCTTTGAATTATTGAATACTTTTGCGCAATTTTTTGTGGCTAATATTTTTTAATTAATAACGCTGTCAGTACAGTACATTTAATTGAAAAAATTTTACAGAACTTACCGGTACGTGGCGATACACACCACCAATCCCCACGATTATCAGTCACTTATTTGAAACGATGCCATGCACGAAAAGAGAAAAAAAACATCCGTAAATCACATGAAATTACAGTTAATTGTATTAGTAATCACAACAACACGCGATGATACATATGCAGTGCAGGCGGAGTACGACGTTGCCAGTTGTGTGAGAGATTTTGTTTATCTGTTTTTCTTCGAAAAATTGAATTTAATAAACAAGAAAATTATTTTGTTAGAGACAGTTAATTAATAAATATACTAAGTGACATATAAATCCGAACACCCAGTTTAAATGGTTTTATTTTAATAAAATTTTGTATAAGTAGCATAATAAGTAAATGATAAAAATTTCAAAATGATTGCACTGCTTTAAAGCCCTTTGACCTTTAATAATGTGTGGATGCACCCTGATGTGCTACGCATTCTCCAACGCGCCTAGGCATGCTTCTGATCAGGTGGTCAATGTCCTCCTGTGGTATCTCATTCCAGGCAACCACCAACTCCTCTCGAAGTGCTTCTAGAGTCTGAGAAGGACGTTGCAAATTGAGAAATCTCCTCCCATCATATCCCACACGTGCTCAATTGGGGATAAGTCGGGAGATCTTGGTGGCCATGGTAACAATGTGACATCATTATGTTGAAAGAAGTCTATTGTGACTCTTGCAACATGTGATCGGGCATTATCTTGTTGGAAAGTTGGATTTGCCAGGGTGTCAAGATAGGGTAAAAGATGGGGTTGTAGAACTTCGTGGATATAACGCTGCGCGTTCATGTTACCTCTGAAGAAGATTAAAGGTGACCTGGAACCATAAGCTATAGCACCCCAAACCATAACTCCAACAGTGTGATGAACATGTCTTTCAACAAAAAACTATGGATTCCTCCTTTCACCCTTTCACCACGTCGCCTTCTAACCCTGACACGACCATCGTGCATGCCTAAACAAAATCGAGACTCGTCACTAAAGACAATACTGTTCCATTCCTGATCCCAGAGTGACCGTTGTCTGCACCACTCAAGGCGATTACGTCGGTGTTCTCGAGTTAAAGGGAGGACCCAGTGTGGCCGGTATGAAAACAAGCCAAAACTTCTCATTCGTCGGTAAACACTTCACATGCCAATAGGTCTTCCGTGTTCTGCAAACCATTCATTTGCAATGGACCTGGTAATGGAGAAACGGACCCTTAAGGCCAATAATCTTAGCCGGCGATCTTCACGGTCTGTTGTTCTATGGCGGCGTCCAGTGCCCCTTGCTCTTTACGTACGGCCTTCTCGAAGCCATGCCTGACAACACCTAACCACAGTGTCTACACTTCTTTGCACTCTAACTGCAGTTGCCCGAAAAGAAAGTCCAGCTCCCCGAAGTCCCACTATACGGCCCGTATCAAACTCACTAAGTTGACGAAATCGTGCAGGTCTCCGTACTCTAGGCATCGTAACCGATCGTAAAGGATGTCAAGAACCAAAATCCGCCAACGTTGATTCTTTACTGCGGCTGAAATATTCATTTTTAGAGCGTTAGTGAATTAAAAAAAAAGCAGTATAAAAACCGGAATGTCCAACTGATAAGGCTGAAAATTTTTTCACTTGTTATTCACAGTAAGATAAATACATTCACCAACTTTTATTAAAATAAAACCATTTAAACTGGGTGTTCGGATTTATATGTCACGTAGTATAGATGTATTGCTACATTTTACGCTATTAAGCATATGCATTTAAATTATTAAGGTGCAAAACTAATTTATTTCATGACCAAAAAGAAACAAGTTCAACATTTTTTCGCTCCGAAACGGTTGATTTTCGGACATGGATTATAATGAACTTTTTTGCTTAAAATAATGCAAGGAATCAACTCTTAAAGTTAAGAATATTATTTCCCTAACACCCTGCATACGGTCTACCGGCCATTGAACAAACTAGTACTAACTACCCAAGCTACTGTTCGTTTGTTATTTAACAAGCTGATTGATGCCCCATCTGCCGGTATTCAAGTGAAACATACCGGATTGGTAATGTATCTCCAATCGATTCCTAGTTGCACCACGCGGTCTCGTAGACACACACCACCATACCACCCTGCGAGGACAGTAACCTGTGTACGTTTTTTCGGATGAAAGCACGCGCAACAGCATATTTAGTAAACAACAGCTTAAGATAAAGGAAGAGAGGCTATCGATAAGATTCGAACTCGCATCTCTTCCATAGCGTCAATTGAGACGTTCGGATTGAGCACGTCAAGAACCATCGGGAAAATATTGTTGGCCTATCCAACTACAATTTATTAGTGAAGGCTAAGTTTCGATTGTGGGCACCTTTCTCTAGTATCTTGCATTCTTTGGATACAAAAACGTCCCCCGCTGTTTCGGCTAACACGAAACGAATCTAAATACCCCCATAAAAGAGATCGACAGAAGTGCGTAATCGTAACCAAGCAAAGTGGTGGAATGGTAAATTGCTCCTCCCCGTCGCCGAATCTGAATCCGGCAAATTAAAATAGATAATTTGGATGGCCGAGCGAGAGTTTTTTCGGGTTGATTGTCCGATTTGTTTTCAAGCCTTGCGGTGGGGCGATGGGGCGATTTTAAAACTGCCTCTCTAGCGCTTTTTCCCCCAAATTGCTTTCCTTTCACTGGTAATGAGGATTGCCTGAATTTATTCTTTCCGGTGCTTAAATCTTACACGCCTCGGGATAATGGATATTGAGCCCCGGGGAACTGTCACCGATTTCGAATGTAAATGTCTAGAGTGTCATCGACTTCGTGCAAAGGCCGGGTATTATGTAAGAAATCTATAAAGCGTCAAAAAAAACCCTATAAAATGTCATTTTGCAGAATAGGTAGTTGTTAGGGTGCAAACAGTCATTTCACGTTTGCTCACTAGGATCGTCGTGAGCGTCCATCTATGGAGGAATGGCTCAACTACACGTATACACGCATTGTTGGTTGCATACGTTTTGTGCAGCCGAGTAGTCTGTAGTTTTCATCTCTGAGAAGAAAGTTGGTTGAATAGCAAGATCGCATCTGCATCTGCATGTGTATAATATCAGTGATATCTGCTGTGCGATAAAATCATTACTGAATATGCTGCCAATGAAGTATAGCTATTAGCTGTGCCCGACGGGTTATTTATATGTTGTCCTTTTGAAGACAGGTTATGTTCAAAGTTATAAATTACGATTTTCTACGTTTTTTTGTGTTTTCAAAAACTTTGAGGAGAGATACGGGAAATCACCAACGCGCCCGCGTTGTGTATAATTACTGTTAGCATCTATATGACTTGTAATTCGAGGTTTTTCTCTTCTCAATCGATGGGTTGCCAGACACAGTACCTTGCATTCCTAGTTGACCACCCTGTACAAAGTCCGAATTATTTAACTGGAATTAGTTTATTCAACAATCATCTACCTGATCTTATCTCTTTTCAGAAATTCCCGCACCAACAACACAGCGAACAACAAAACCTCCCGATGTTTCAGACCACAGAAACGGTTCGTATAGATACTATGTAATAGAGGCTATTGAAGCTGCACAATATCAGTAATGACTGCATCGATTAAGTTCATATCTACATAACTCCGATGTTTTTTTTATTTCAGATAAAGCTACTAGTAGAAGTGGATCAAAGCTTCCAGGTAATAATATAACTTCTTCAATATCGTCTAAGTTGGAGTTTCCCTACCTTTTTTTTTTAGGCTAACCGGACTATAAATTATATTTTCATGCCCCCCTTTACGTTTTCAATGAATACAAAATATCGCACATTATATAGGTACAAAGACTTTTGTTTTAATTCTAATAAAGGATCTTTAAAAGTTTAAATAAACTAATAAATGTGTTTTATCGAAAAACTTGAATCAAATAAGAGTAAGTACTAGTGGGACACTTGAGATTGCATGTTCTGTACTATACTATAACTATCTAAAACTGTAATGACTCATCGATGTTCACGTGAACATCACTTAACTACCAGTAGTCGGCTTTTCATAGGCGGGGTATGAATGTTTAACATGGGTGAACTAGATTTGTCACATGCTTAACAAAGAGTGGTTTGAAACATATTGTATGTCAAAAATTTGGGAATTACCTTTATTCATCGTCGCTTCCGCTTACATCTGACAGTAATAAACTGTCGCTATCGCTTTCCTCGTTGAAATTGACTATAACTGGCTCTATGATGGTGTCGATGTGGTGGTCAAGCTGCCACATTTTTGTTTCTTCCTTCACAACATGACGGATAGCATTCTGCCAAGCTTCGGGTGTTACTAGCTGTATGGAAGTCTCAAGTAAAACCTTAACGTCTGGTAATTTGAAGGTTGTGTTATGGCGCGCAATATAACCCTTCACTTGAGCCCAGATGAGCTCTATTGGGTTCAGTTCACAGTGGTAGGGCGGTAACCGCAGCACAGTGACACCACATTGACGGGCCATCTCATCAGTCACGTAACTAATGTTCGCAAGTTTGTGCTGTTTAATTTTTTCATACAATTCCGCTTTCACACATGAATCGTCAAACGGGATTCCTTTTTCGCGCAACCATTGCTGCATGTCACTTTTTCGAGATCCCATAGTCGGTGCACGTTCGGCTCGACGACTATGGTAGGAAGCATTATCCATGACGATCACAGAGTTGGGCTCAACTCGCTGAAGCACCCCTTGAAACCAGCTCTCGAAGCAGCTGGCATTCATTTCGTCATGGTAATCACCTCCTTTCTTAGAGACGAAAATCAAGTCACACTCTTCTAAAAAGCCACTATCGCTACCAATATGAGTTACGATCAATCTTTGACGTTTCACTGACGGTCCACGAAGACCTGTTGACACACCTTCAATGCTTGCTTGTCGGTTACTCACTACGTTTTTGTCTATCCAGGTTGTTTTAACTGTGTGACCTGCATTTACCCATGTCTCGTCCAAATAATAGATTTTTCTGCTTTGTCGCCTATATTCAATCATTTCGCGTAGGTATTTTCGACGCCAGGCGACTATTTCAGGTCTCTCTATCAATACTGACTTCCGATTACGCGTTTCGTAACGAAAATTAATTTCGTGCAGGGATTTCCTCATTACCTCGACGCTCATTTGGGGTATAATTTCATTTTCCTTGATCGCTGCATGTACAGCCTTGAGGGTTGGTATCTCATTCCTAAAGAAGAATGAATGTACGGTTCGCCTTAACGCCATTTTGCTATCGTCATCCAATTTAACGGCCTTTCGTCCCTTCAAATTAAACTTTGGATCAGTAGTAGCTCCAGTTTTCTTCTTTTCATACGCCACCCTGCGAATGATCCACTCTGGAACGCCTGTCATACTTTCACAATGCGCGAGTGCATCTCCCTGCGACATAGTTCTGTTCAGATAATTGAACACGTTGAGCACGATTTCTTTCGCGTCCCTCTTCAGTGCTTTACGAAGCCGTCTACTTGTTCCCTGGCTTTCAGTACTTCCACTCGTGCCATTTGTACTCTCCATGGTTAAGTATAACCAAAACAGTAACCACAGAAACCACAACAATAACAATCACACAACAATTCTTAGAAAAACACACAATATGCGATCGCTCAACGAAACACGTTCCAATGCGTTGCCGACGCCTATGAGTCTGCCGGTCGAGGCGCGTCTTTGATTTCATTGGTTCTACCGGCGGAGAACAATCAGCCATTATTTCCATCTCTGTCTGTGCTGTTGACCACCGCAAAGCCACAGAAACGACATATGTCGTACGCTATACGGCTGTACTGGAAGGAAGCCGGGATCGAGCTCTGATCACGTGTTGATCACGCGTATGAGTCATTACAGTTTTAAATAGTTGTAGTATAGATGGTTGATTCTAGGTTCTGTTTTTGCCAGAGCTATCATCAGTTCGCTATCGACATCCAGACGATTTCGCAGTTTGGTTTTAATTAAAACTTGAGCAGAAAAGTCTGTCGCACATAAGTAACTTGAAGATAAAGGAACTAGTATTCGTAAAGCAAGACAGGCGAGTGTCGAATCAACAGGCAATCTTTTGATCCCAAATTTCTCCAATGTTGAAAGGTTGAAGTCATCTTTCATGGACGAATACGAATCAGCCTTAATTTCTAGAAATTCTTCCTGAACTTCTGGTAATTGTGACACATCGACAACAAATGGATTTCTTGTCATGTGCCGTATTGGTGACTCTGAATTGATGTCTCGATAGTATCGCCATCTGTGCAAAGTCCAATGAGCTTCTTCCAATCCAAATCATTTTTTTCAACAAAATTTGATATTGAATTAGATATATCTTCAGATGTAGTACCTGCTGTCAAAGATTTTGAGTACAAAATCTCTTGAATGATATCTCCGCCGCGACGTAACGAACATTAAACTATTAAATGGGCATTAATGGCAAAAAATGGCGATAATTTTACTTTGTTAATTATTTGTGACTTTATGTCTGCTGCAATGTCGTCGATTCTACGCTTGACTGTGTTATTCGAAAGAGAAATAGACTTATTTTTTTGCATTTGAAACACAACAAAATTCGTTGCAATTTCGATTAAACGAAAATTGCAACTTTTAGAATGAAAATTTTGAAACCCGTTTTTTTTTTAGAGTATGATTACGACAGTATAGGGGGCGAATACACCCTGCCCTCCAACGGCCCCCCTCCTATTCGCGAGCCACCAGGAGCTTTCAGCGGAAGCAGCAGATCGATTGGGAATTTCTTTCTCTACGCAATCGTGTACTTCACTACTTCCCTCAGCATCTGGAGGTGATGTTAGATAGAAGCAAGGACGGTGTGAAAACGAGTGAAAAGAAATCCAAAGGTGAGTAATAATTTTGCACTATGACCTCTATTAGCTGTTGGACGTTGAGATGACCATCGAAGTCATAATCAGGCTGTTGAGGATAGGTAAGCAAAGCAATTCAACTCGCAGTGGTCAGAGCAGTTTATTGAGTACTTGTACATGAATGTGTAGATACGCGACAGGTGTATACCGGGCTTACGCGTTCCGCAATCCGCGCGCGTGCGTTGGCTGCTGTTGTTCTTCGACTGCTTCATACGACTGACTCTTTACGACTGATTGCATTCCTAGTTTCCTAGTGCGGCGCGCGTGGACCGACGGCTGTTACAAGCTTCAAGGTTAGGCGACGTGTCTGGTCCTCTCGCCACTAGCGGCGTGGCAGGGTGACGCTAGTTCGCGTTCCAATACAGGCTCTACAGTATATTCAGATAAGAGATAGACCGGACATAAACAAGACAACGTGATCATCGAACGGTGTAACATTCGGCAGGGACGTATTAAGAGTCACGCAGTACATATTTTAGATAGTAGATGCTGCTTTGCGTAACTTTGTAGTAAATTAGCACAATTCGATGTGTATACGATTGGTGATGGATATTGGATCATGTGGGGGTGGGGTAAGAAATATATAATGATGTAAATATAGATAAGGGTTTCAAAATTTTCGCTTCGATTTCCAGCTTCGGATGCCGCCTGATGTTTGGTGAAATACAGTCGAATATAATCTCAAAATGGCGTTTAAATTAGCCTAAATTAAAAATAATCGTATATCTCTTAAAAATGCTTTTAGAATATTGATTAGTATATTTTTTGATTTCTAGGTAAATATGTAACCAAATTAAAACGTTCAAAACGTAAAAAAATGTGCATGGTTGAACATTGTCAGAAAGTAGATTCTTGAATAGGTTTTGCCAAAATGGGTTCAAAAATGTCAATAATTAATTAAAAAATACAGTAGTTTTATAATTACTTATAACTTACCGAATTTGATGAACGACATCTTTTATTGGAAAGATGAGCTTGATGAGCTTTCATCATCGCTACTGCCTGAAGCACCAACGTCAATAATGAATGGCTCGACTTGTTCCTCTAAAATATTGTCCAGTTCCCACATTCTCTTTTCAACTTTGTCTTTCACGTGCTTAATACAGTTTTCCCATTTTTGCGCTGTTATTAATTCTGGTGCTTCTTTGAAAAGTCCTTTGAGGTCACAAAATTTAAAAGTTGTATTGTGCTTAGCTATATAATTTTTAACCTCTGCCCATATGAGCTCAATGGGATTGAGCTCGCAATGGTATGGAGGTAAACGGAGCACAGTTTTATTTTGACTTGCTGCCATTTCGTCAATGGCGTATTTTTGATATTCCGCCTTGTGATCCTTGACAATTCTTAATAATTGTTCTTTCAGCATTGCTTCTTCAAAGTTGATATTTTTCGAGCGGAGCCAATTTTGAACATCAACTTTCCTTGAAGCCGTTGTTGGGACCTTCTCCATTCTTCGAGAATGATAAGGCGCATTATCCAACACAATTACTGCGTTTTCCTCTAAGTTCGGTAAAATTTTTGAAAACCACTGTTCAAACGATTCGCCATTCATTTCCTCGTGGTAATCTCCAGTTTTCTTAGACTCAAAGCACCACAGACCGTCAACAACAAATCCATCCTCACTGCCAATATGGCAGATAATGAGCCTTTTCCCTTTACCTGGAAATCGAAGTACTAACTGGTGTAGATTTATTTCAATAAGCGAACCTTTTTCAAATGTTTTCATCACATTCAGCGAAAAAACATTGAGACATGAGTATCAGATTGCTATAATTGGGATTATTTAGTCATATTGAAAGAAAGAATATTGAACGTCGTATGATTACTCAGAGTTTCACAATTTAATTTAAAGTTATAAACCTTTTAAAAAATGAATGATCAGGAACCTGAAATACGCGCAAATATTAATATTAACAAATTATAACTTTATAAAGCTTAAAGTATGAATTAAAATGATTAGAAATATTAGGAACGGTACACAATATAAAACTTAGTAACTTTTTTTAAGTTTATAATACTCGACATATTTTAAGATTATATTAAAAAATTATTGAAATATCGAAAACACATAAAAACATGGCTTAAAAAAGTTCTAACAAATGAAAATGACAATAAAACATCCACGCATTTTATCGATAGTTATAAAAGTTTTGTTACTTGTAATATGTTTTATCTGCCCCCTGGAATTAATGTTTAGAACCTTGTTCCCAAGGTTTGAAAAACATCCGATTGTTGTCTATTACTCGTATTTACCTGCTGGATTTTTTAATCCGGTGGACAGTCCATCTAGAAAGGCCCTCCTGGATGAAGTTACAGAATCATCAACCCATACTTTACTTGTAGTGTGTCCTGCGTTTACCCACGTTTCATCAAGGTAATAAATCTTCCTGTTTTGATTTCTATATTTCCCAATTTTTGTTAAATAATCCCTCCTCCATAGCACAATTTCTTCTCTATCCAGTAGTAAACTATTACGACCCCGTTTTTTCCTTTTGAAATTTAAATGCTTCACGCATGGAAAGTTGATCGTTTGAAATTTGGCAACGTTGTATCTCCATTTACCTCCTGCAGTACTTTATATATAGTAGGTATTTCATTCCTAAAGAAGAATTCATGCACTTTCCTCCTAATCGCATGCTTATCAATTTCATCCAATGATTTAGCAATACTTTTGCGATGTTTACTGGTCATTGGCTCAGAAAAGGTGTGATTTTTTTGTATTGTCTTAACACATTAAACACTGATGCGCGACACACCCCAACTTTGTGAGAAACTCTCACAACAATTTCTTTGATGGTTGATGCCTCGTTCTCCTCGCGCTCGATCTTATATATATTCAAAATGACCTCTTTCATTTCTGCACTCAGGTGTTTTTTTTTTAGAGCGTTTCCTAGGTGGACTACAGGAGTTTACAACTTCATCGGCAGCATCTGTACTACTGGGCATTTTGCGCAAGCAGTTGATAACAATAACAATCAATAACAAGGTATAACAATAACAACGACAAACTCAACAACTTAATAAGATAACAAACGAAAACGTCCAAAGAAATATCAAATTGCAATGATGCACACGACATACGTAACACGTCTGAACCTGAATGTGACTCTGCCTTGATACGACTGCTCTGCCGCTCGGCATAGGCATTTAATTGCGAATTGACCAATGAGGGCTCCTGTTTTACGTCGAGACGGCGGCGTTAGCGTGAAAATCACCCGAACCTTTTGTTTACATCCGGTCTATCTCTTATCTGAATATACTGTAGGTATCGGCTTAAAAATGAAGTTTATAATGAACTTGTAATAAAAAAGGTGACCTTGAAATGTGATGTATGGAATATCATACATTCGTGAAATCAGAATGAAAACCTCTATTCACTTGAAGAACTGGACTTAGGGGACATTTGGTTCTAGCATGACGACACAAACTTGAAGATGGGACTTGTGATTTTTTGCGGTTATTTGAAATTCCGTGTTTGTGTGAACAGTTTGAAGACCAGGAAGATATTACCACCAGCTGGCAAGAATCATGACGAACGCCAAAAATCGGACAAACAGTGTTTGGAGAATGAAAGAAATGGGATAAGTCAGCTATCTGATTTGAACTTCAAAAATATGTAGAACAAAATTTAGTCATGGTCTATATTATAAAAAACAAATGGTTCATACAAATTGATCTATCAAGTTTCTATCGCATCGTGTAGAGCAGTGGTTGAGCTACTTTGATTAGTTTGAAATAAACAGTAAGCTACCTAGTCGTAAGCAATGTATGCCAACTTAGATGAAATTATACACAGTTGTATGCGACATACCTGTACATGTGTTTATTTTACTACAGATACTACATAAATACATCCTTTCCTACCAATCGTAGGTGATTGAAAAATAAACAAAAATTTCCGTCAGTTATAATGGCGTGACACATACGATTTAATAAAGGTAACTAAATATAAACAAAACAACGCACTATTTTAAAAATGTTCACCGAAAGAAATATTGTTCTTTTCATTCCGAATGGAATTGGTATGACTTCATCTTCTTACTACTGTTCATAATGTTTTTAATTGCAGTCCAACTCTAATACGACCGCTGGACTTTGTGCCGTCCAGTTTTAAACTGAGCTTACTGTCGCCGCGAGTTGCGTATTTATTCCGTTCCAAGTAATCGAGATCGTTCTCGAACAGATCGCTCACCGCAATGTTGCCGCTGCTTGTCTTTATTATGAGAATTTACAAAATCTACGGAAGCTTTTATGATTTTTACACCTTTTTAAAATATGTTGTGAGCCACCAGAATTGCGTTTACTAGCTACCGGTAGCTCGCGATCGACGTGTTGGCGATGACTGGTGAGGAGGAATAAAAGTGCCAATGTTATTGGACAACATTTCTTGATTTATCTATCTCCCGAAATAATTGTGAGTTATCTAAATTCGCAAGTTTGTCTCCATTTAACCTGAGTTAGTATCCTAGTCCAAGATCCTAATAGTCGAACTTGAAACACCCTGTCTATTTTATAAACAGAACAGAATAAAGTGGAACACTCTCGGATTGGATGAATTCACTCTAAATTCAGAATCTCAAATTCTTTTAGCTATGTATGTAAATTTTCTTTTTTGTTTCAGGTTTGGGTCCTGCCCATATCAAGGTGAAGAAAAACAGACTGACGAACAATATCATTATACATACTGTAAATATGAAAGTGTATCATAAAACTAGTACAAAATGTGTATACAATAACGCTGAGCATTGAAATATGTATGTTAGACCCGCTGAAACTGCCAAAGCATATCTTGAATGACATAAACTTAAGTGATATTAACGAATCATTGATAGAGGCTGACGTGTTGATTAAATAAACGTTTCTAATTAAACGTGTACTGTATTGTTCTTTATTCCTTACTCATGGTGTTCTAGAACAAAATGACAATTTCTAGGATTCATACAAAACAGTGCAGTAAGATCTTATAAGAACACCTACACAAGTAGTTGCATATGTGTATTTATTTCGGGCCTTGTGAAGCCAACCAGAAGAAATACGTATCGCTCGGGTTACCTATCCTATTTTCTGCTCGAATCCACTTTCCTTCTTTTTGCGGATTTTGCCCACCTGATCACCTCACACAAAAATATTTCCAATATAACATTCCTTTGTTTTGTATGTAACGAGTTTATACTTTTAAATCATGAAATATTGAATAACCTTCACTTATACAGGGTGTTTCAGTTTAAGATTCGATAGAACTTTTAAAATTAATGCAGTCTATATAAACATGGATCGAAAAATGCGTGGCTTCCGAAATACAGGGTGTTTAAATTTACTTTTTAAAATAGTTTTTTTTTTAAATATTGCGAACAATATTTGATGTATAATATTGAAAATTGGTATACAAGGGTTTTTTGGTACGACAAAACGAACCATGGGCATAGTCTTACTGTAGCCGGTAGAGGGCGCTCTCTATTGTACCTGTAGTGTATTAAAATGACCGAAATTTTTTTCTTAGTGCAATTTTTTGCTTTTTGAATGAAAAAACTGATTCTTCGCACTTTTCTGCATGAAAAAGCTCTCTCGTCAGTTTTCGTTATAGTTAGCCGTTTTTGAGATATTTCGATTTTCAGGGTTCGATGCATTTTTTATTATTTATGGGAAAATAATATTTTTTTACATTTTCGATTTGGCCATTACAAGTAATTAAGATGATCGTTTAGATTGTGTTTTTAAACACAGCAATAATTCCTAACTCCAAATAAACACAAAAAACAGAATATTAATTTGATTAATTTTCCAATATTATTTGTGATATAGCATTATTCAAATAAGGCCTTATTTCATCACATGCATTCCCGATTCTGTCTATTAGCATATCTCTTGTGGTTACGGGAGTCTGGTACACTTTTTCTTTTAGAAATCCCCACACAAACAAATCTAATGGATTTAGGTCAGGGGATCGTGGAGGCCAGGCGACTGGTCCTCCGCGGCCGATCCATCTTTCTGGATAATTTTCGTCCAGCCAGTTTCTAACTATTCTCGAATAATTAGCTGGACAACCATCAAGCTGGAACCAGGCCAATCTTCTTAAATCTAACATAACATCATTCCACATATATTTGCATGTTCAGCCTTTAAAAATTCCAAGAAGGTCGCAGCATTTGACCTTGCAGGCAAAAGGTTGGGTCCAAATAGTCGATTACGGTAGATACCAATCCACACGTTCACACTAAATTCATGCTGAAAATTTCTTTCCCGAACTGCATGCGGATTTTCATGCGACCAAATATGTTGATTATGAAAATTTACCACTCCACGTCTAGTGAAGCATGACTCATCGGTCCATAAAACGTTACTTAAAAACTCCCTATTATTATCAGTTCTATCGAGAATCCACTGACAAAATGTAATTCTTCGTTCTCCGTCCCCTGGCTGTAGTCCTTGCACAGGTTGCAAATGGTAAGGACGTCTATGGTCATTTCTAAGAACACGGCTTGCTGAAATTCCCAAGGCACCAGAAACTCTCCTAATACTTGTGGTCGGATCTCTATCAAACTCACGCAGAATCATACGGGTAAATCTGCGCTGACAAACATTTATGTTTTGATCCCTTTGGAGATTTCCAAAACCATTTTCAATTATTTGGCGATGCACTCTTACAAATACTGAGCGAGTTGGATGTCGTCTGTTTGGAAATCTTCGTGCGTATTCTCTGGCTGCTTCTGCTGCGTTTCCATTTACAAAGCCATACACAAAATGAATATCCGCTAACTCTTGATTGGAGAATAAAAATGGCATTTTTATAAAACTTACAAAAAAAACAGGTAAAAGAAACTAAATTTCGTTCATTCGCAATTGCAAAAAACGTTTCAGGTTTCAACAGACAACAAAACTAACTGTCAACTAACTGACGTTTAACCTTATTCTGCTTTCAATTTCAAAAATATTTGCAGGCACAGCCTACTTCTAAAAATTATCGAGATACTGACTTTTTAACGTTATTTTATCATAAATAATTAAAAATGCAACAAACCTTAAAAATCGAAATATCTCAAAAACGGTTAACTATAACGAAAACTCACAGGAGAGCCTTTTTATGCAGAAAAGTACGAAGAATCAGTTTTTTTATTCAAAAAGCAAAAAATTGCACTAAGAAAATTTTTTCGGTCATTTTAATACACTACAGGTACAGTAGAGAGCGCCCTCTAGCGGCTACAGTAAAACTATGCCCATGGTTCGTTTTTTCGTACCAAAAAACCATTGTATACCAATTTTCACTGTTATGCATCAAATATTGTTCGAAATATTTAAAAAAAAACTATTTTAGAGAGGAAATTTAAACACCCTGTACTTCGGAAGCCACGCATTTTTCGACCCATGTTTATATAGACTTTCTGCATTAATTTTAAAAGTTCTGTCGAATCTTAAAGTTATATATATATATATATATATATATATATATATATATATATATATATACCATATTTTTATACTCGTACAATTTTAAACTTCTAACTTATCAAAAGTATTTATGTTTTTTGTATTGTTTTTTTTTGGGGGGGGGGTAAGTGACAGAGTAGCATTATGCTAAAATTTCGTCCCCTAATAAAGATGATTTATTATTATTATTATCTTTATTATTATTATTATTATTATTATTATTATTATTATTATTATTATTATTATTATTATGCCACCTCACAAGCAGATTTTACATCACATCAGAGCCAAAGATTGATAACAAGCCCCATGGCGTTTAGGCAACACGTACAACTGAGCGCTAAGTTAACATCTTGTAGAAAAACCTACATAATGTCGAAGAAACCAGCATAATGTCAAAAAAAAAGTCGGCATAATGTCGCTTTTCAAGATACGTGATACCACCCGTGCGGATTCGCTTCAGTTTCCGTAACTCCAAATTTTCTTCAGCCTATCATCCATAACAATTAGCTGTATCAAACGCAGAAGGACGGAAGTGTAGGGAGACCGCATTCGGCTTCGGATATGTCACGTCGGCAGGCGATGCTTTATCAGCAGAGTGCCAGGATCGAGGCGCACCGGCAGCGCATCTATCATGGTTCTACAAGTTTATCAACTTCAGGATAGGGCCAATTATTATCTCGTAAGTTAGAAGGTGCCGCCGGTATGTGACGCCACGCTGACGGTGGTGGGAATGATGAATTATCCACAGCATATGTTCGGGGTTCGAAACGGGAACACTTTGAACGTATCGATTATTTATTAATCCAGGCGAAATAAAAATTGGGTTTACGAAAATTCCCACAAAGCTTACAATTGGCACAGACCTTGAGTATACAGGGTGACGGATGCGGTGCCCTTGGGGGGAGATAGTGCAAGCCAATCTGAGTCGATTTTACTATAGGAACTACAGTCCGAACATTAGCCGTTTTCGAATTATACTAATTTTTTAAATTTTATAAAATTAACGTCCTTTATATACTAAGTAACATATAAATCCGAACATCCAGATTAAATGGTTTTATTTTAATAAAAGTTGCTGAATGTATTTATCTTACTGTAAATAACAAGTGAAAAAATTTTCAGCCTTATCAGTTGGACATTCCGGTTTTTATACTGCTTTTTTTTAACTCACTAACGCTCTAAAAATAAATATTTCAGACGCAGTAAAGAATCAACGTTGGCGGATTTTGGTTCTTGACATCCTTTACGATCGGTTACGATGCCTAGAGTACGGAGACCTGTACGATTTCGTCAACTTAGTGAGTTTGATAGGGGCCGTATAGTGGGACTTCGGGAAGCTGGACTTTTTTTCGGACAATTGCAGTTAGAGTGCAAAGAAGTGTAGACACTGTGGTTAGGTGTTGTCAGGCATGGCTTCGAGAAGGCCGTACGCAAAGAGCAAGGGGCACTGGACGCCGCCGTAGAACAACAGGCCGTGAAGATCGCCGCCTAAGATTATTGGCCTTAAGGGACCGTTTCTCCACTACCAGGTCCATTGCAAATGAATGGTTTGCAGAACACGGAAGACCTATTGGCATGCGAAGTGTTTACCGACGAATGAGAAGTTTTGGCTTGTTTTCATACCGGCCACACTGGGTCCTCCCTTTAACTCGAGAACACCGACGTAATCGCCTTGAGTGGTGCAGACAACGGTCACTCTGGGATCAGGAATGGAACAGTATTGTCTTTAGTGACGAGTCTCGATTTTGTTTAGACATGCACGATGGTCGTGCCAGGGTTAGAAGGCGACGTGGTGAAAGGAGGAATCCACAGTTTTTTGTTGAAAGACATGTTCATCACACTGTTGGAGTTATGGTTTGGGGTGCTATAGCTTATGGTTCCAGGTCACCTTTAATCTTCATCAGAGGTAACATGAACGCGCAGCGTTATATCCACGAAGTTCTAGAACCCCATCTTTTACCCTATCCTGACACCCTGGCAGATCCAACTTTCCAACAAGATAATGCCCGACCACATGTTGCAAGAGTCACAATAGACTTCTTTCAACATAATGATGTCACATTGTTACCATGGCCACCAAGATCTCCCGACTTATCCCCAGTTGAGCACGTATGGGATATGATGGGTAGGAGATTGCTCAATTTGCAACGTCCTCCTCAGACTCTAGAAGCACTTCGAGAGGAGTTGGTGGTTGCCTGGAATGAGATACCACAGGAGAACATTGACCACCTGATCAGAAGCATGCCTAGGCGCGTTGGAGAATGCGTAGCAAATCAGGGTGCATCCACACATTATTAAAGGTCAAAGGGCTTTAAAGCAGTGCAATCATTTTGAAATTTTTATCATTTACTTATTATGCTTCATTAAGTACTTATACAAAATTTTATTAAAATAAAACCATTTAAACTGGGTTTTCGGATTTATATGTC